CTCGAACAATCGTATCTCCTCTCCTCAAATTGTCCATTTCGGTGCACAATCTGAGGGTCAATTAGGAAGAATTTGTTGTAACTGCATCGTTATAATTAATTTGAAATGGAGACTTATCGTTACAATCCGTCGATTCGATAAAAAGACAAACGATTGACAAATAATCTGAAGTTGTTTATCGTTCGAAAGTTTTACTGTACATTCTCGCTTGAATTCAACCGTCCGTATTAACTTATTTATTTATTATCGCGACTGTAAAATGGATTCGACTAATCCGAATCAACTGAAACGTTTGTTGAAGTCGATCGACGTTCGTTCGAAAGTTTACCGTACTTTCGAACGTTTTTCTAAATGTACGAATTAATTTGTTCATTTATTGTGCAACAACTGTTAAATTACCGTGACTTGCACGAGTCAATTCGAAAATTCTCCGAAATCCATGAACGTTTGCGCGAACTCGAACCTTGGTTTTACGATTAATTTAGGTCGCATAAATTCGATTTCTTCGATCCAAAACTTGCCTGTTTTAATAATTATACCAACGCATGCTCTAATTAAGCATTTTATCTTTCGAGCGCAATTTCATCGAACGAAAATTTTATACATTACTTTCATAGAAAAACGAGTCGCGAAGCTCGAATAATCGTATCTCCTTTTCCCAAATCGTCCACTTTTGTGCACAATCTGAGCTTCGATTTGGGAGAATTTACTGTAGTTGTTTTACCGATTTATCGTAGGTTTTTAGAGATACTCGATGAAGTTTCTGTAAGGGCGCGATCGTTGGGTGGACGCTACGGAGGATTTTAAGCGTTGATCGCTTTGATGGATTTTGGAACTGTTTGCTGTTTTACCAATTTATATTCTGCGAACATTTCGCGATGTTTCTGTAAGTTCGTGATCGTTGGCAGGACACTACAGAGGATTTGTGTGATTTATAATATACGAAGTTTCTAGGAGGACAGTGTGGAGGATGTTACGCGATTTACGCCAGATGCAATTTTTGTAGGAACAATATGATTTGGAGGACGCTATGAAGGGTTTTATGCAACATGTGCAAGACGAAGTCGTTTGTAAGGTTGCTGTGATTTGGAGGACGCTACGGAGGATTTCCTGCAATATGTACAAGACGAAGTCCTCTGTAAGGATGCTGTGATTTGGAGGACGCTATGGAAAATTCTACTCGTCTCGTTCTCAGAAAACTTTGCGTCGGAGGAAAGTTCGCACTGTTCGGTCTTACGTAAGACTTTCGGCGCCAATTATGCAATTGCATATTTCAATCAGTTCTAGATAACAAAGCGAGTCCGTTGAATATTCGATCGTACGACATTGACAAGACAATTTAGCCAGCGTTGAAAACCTTCGAATCTGTATATCCTATCATCTTTCTGTGAATTACGAAGTGTTCCAATGCTTCGTCATGCTACTCGAACATTTTCATAATTTCATACATCGAACAAGATTCATTATCCGATTGTTTGTCCGTATTTTTTGTAATTCTTATCTCAATGCTTACAAATTTTCTAAAATGTTCGATAACACTGTACTTTTTAATTGCGAAGCGTGTCGAATCGCGTATCGAACGTCCATCGATTTAATTGTCCGAGAAACTCGCTGTTGCTCTCGCTAGCGAGGACCAACAATCCATCTAATCTTTTTGTCGAGAAGCAGACCGAAAGCTGATCAACTTTTATCCAAAATATACGTATTTCGTTCATCGCGCGTTGCAAGATTATCGCGTTCGATCGTGATTTCGTGCGCCGCGCACGAATTTGAGCGATGCTTGTCGGCGGAATGTCTCGATATCGTCGCGCTGCGTGGTTCCGGTGGTTGCGAGCAGCTCGACCTTGTTCGGTCGTGTCGACGCTCAACTTTGAACTGTCGCGTTCGCTATCTAATGACTATTTTGTCTAAAATCGACCTAACGTTCCGAACGCACAATCGCTGGAGGGCGAAAAGTTTATAAAAAGGCACGGTTATTTCTATTCGGAGAACGTCTGTCGAGCATTATCAGGGCTCGACCTTCGCCGGCAAGCGTTTTATCATAATCGGGCAACGTGACTCCGCGACTGACGCGTGGTGGCTCTCCCAGCGAATTCTGTTTTTCTTTTTATCGGAAACGATTAGGGTGACAGAGGATCGCATAGTTGCGAGGTCACGGCATTAGAATTTCTTATCTTCGCTTAATTACGGAACACATGAGACCCCTCGGTCGTTAGGCTACTCCGCCAGCACGGCAGCGTTTCGCAACGACGCTCGCAATGACTCCAAAGTCATCGTTACGTACAGGGTGATCCGTTTAACTGGACCCGGCGGAATATCTCGCGAGGCCTTGACGTTGTCAGAAGCATGTTCGAGCAAAAGTTGTTTGGTATAGAGGGGGACGTTGGATGGTATAAACAATATTCCCGCAGGTGCAGTGGCGGCGGAGATATTGAAGTCAAATTTTAAAATTTTTTAATGGGACCCTGAATTTTTTTGTCCGTAATATATAGCAGCGTCTGTCGAGACGGATGCAATGATCTACCACATGATATTATTCCATGTATTAAAGTGACATGAATTGATACGTTTTAGCACTTTTCCTGTTTCTCTTTTTTGTTCTTTCTTTTTCTGCTTCTTTTCGTGTGATTTCTTGACTTATAGAGCCTGAGAAACCTAAAAGGGAGCGAAGAGGTCCGAGATAGTGCACAGTCGAATTGGCGTTACAATAAATTGATGCTTGTACGCAAAAATGGACAATTTTGGAAGAGGAAATACGATTCGATCTTGACAAACTATTGCTATATTATTGCTATGTTATATATTATTATTGCTATTATTATATTATATTATATTATTTATTATTATATTATATATTATTATATTATTGCTATATTATGGACAAAAAAATACAGGATCCTATTTAAAAATATTAATTTTTTTATATTATTATATTATAATATATAATATACTATATTATTTTATATTATATTATTTATTTTTTATATTATTATTAATATTATTTTTGTATACCATCTAACGTCCCCTTCTATACCAAACAACGTTTGCGAGAACATATTTTTGATAACATTAATCCCTCGCGAAATATACCGCCGAGTCCCAGTTAAACGGATCACCCTGTATAGTGATCTTGAGAGATCGGCCGAGCTTCAGCGATTCAGGGTTAATTCTGTCGAGATCACTGGGACGCAAAGAGTCTCGTTGTTAGGGGCTCCTAGATCATCGATGGCGGTGACCATTTTGGAGTAAGTATTGAAAAATTATGAAACCTAATTCGTATACATATGAAATTCGCCGTTTAAACGACAGACCTCTTCTTCTTGCGGCATTAGGAACGTTAGAAAGTGTATCGAAGCTGGTATGTTTACATAATTATTGTAATTCCCATATAACAATTGGA